GTATAAGGTGCGTGCCTTTGCCCAAACCAAATAACATGTCTGGAATGGACGAAACAAGGGCATTGACTTGGAATCAATAGATCGCCACAAGATGCTACATAACTGAGCATCGATTTTTTGCCCAAAGTGCTATTGCTTTTTCATCTCCTTCGCTAGACTGTTTGATTAGATGATCTTGAATACCTTGGTCTCTACACCACAACTCGACAAATGAAGCCCAAGTCAAGTAGTTTGAACCTCCCATTAAAGGTTCCGAGGTAATAATAGCACTAGAGCTCATGTTTCTAGACCCAAAAGCATCAAATCCCAAAGACATTATTGCAAATTATTACCAAATAAGAGAAAGAATCAACTGTAATCCACTGAAACATAGTAAGGAAACACAGAAACAGAATAATGAAATACTGTAGCTGACGGAATCTTACTGTACATGTCGGAATAGTACTGTAGCTGCCGGAAAAACTCAAAGTGGTCGAAATGAAATGAAAACAGTAGGGGTGGGATCGAAATTACCAGGCGACCCAACTGTTCTGAAGGAAGTTTTTCAAAAAATGGCCAGAAGTGGTCGTACGCGCAGGCGCGTGAGCTTCTGGTGGCGCGTGGAGGAGGCTGCTGACGGATTTTTTCACTGGGGTTTGGTCGCCGGACAGTGACGACTCTTGTGGTAGTGTTGAATTTTGAACAACACTGACAGAGACGAAGCAGACGCAAAACAATCTTAAAAAAGAGTCGCCGGAAAAAGACTTCCGCTGACTGATTTCTCTTCTCGGAATCGCTGGAATTTATGCACAGTGATAAATCTCTGATACCATGTGAGAAGGCACGGGAGAAAATATGTTATTGACATAGGATGTTCAATACAATACAAGAGGTCCTTATTTATAGCTATACTATATAAGGACATATTACTCCTATTCCAATGTGGGACAAGACTACACTATATACATAGCTGTAAACTAACAGTAACAAAACTTGGGATTAGGAATCTCTTTCTTATTAAGTCAATGTCGGTTGATGGAGTGAAAACACTTATGAATAGTTGTGATCATATTGTGATCATAGGAGTCAGTGAATAGTTGTCATCTTATGAGCTGATCATTGGCGGTCTGTCAGAAAATTGTTGCTAACAATTTGGAGATCGCTTGGGTCATTTTATGCAGTGATGTCTAGCTTTTAAATCTCCTCCTATGGCCACAAATTGTTCCAAAAGTATATGAACTAATGTTATTTTGGGGGAGGAATCTGATGGGAGGAAAGAGTTGTTGTATATTAATTTAGAAAATGACTTTCAGCTTAGGGTCTCTGAAGTTGACAGATTGATGTGGTTTAGAAAGTGAAATGACAATTTGTTTTTCTTTCTCATAACCGCTTTTTCCTTCCTCTTTTCAGCTAAATATAACTGTAAAATTCTTGTTAGAATAACTGGAAAACTGCTTTATTTTACGTTCTATGTGAAAGTTGATGTGCTATATTGCCCATTTATGCTGTCACGCCTGTTTTGAAGCATTTAGTTTGATTGTATATTGGAATTAAAAGGCACATCCTTTATCATGAATTTCCTATTCTTTTTCTCCTGTTGGGGTATATTGAAATGGTGTAGCACCTCTTTTGGTGACACCTTTGCAATGTTTGGTAACTGACTTCCAAAAGGATAATTCTTGTTAAATGGACTGTAACATAATGTCTCTTACACTTTTGTTTCACTTTTGCTTTAATAGGCATCAAGATGCCATTTTGCATTTGTTCTATATCCTCCGAAAACTGTATACCTCAGAGATTAGACGACATTTACTCTTTTTGTGGTCTTGTTCTTTTTCTTCTCCGTTGTATTTGTATGGCTTTTAGACGGATGGTTTCTCATCTTTTTGTTTGGGTTGTCACATTTGAACTCAGAACTATTCAGGAATTACCTAAGGCAAATAAGGGAGGAAACTAGTGGGAGATTATTAAGTGTTGCTTATCGACATAATGGAACTCCTAACAAATGGTGGTTAGCATTTGCCAAGAGAAAGTTTATGAACATGATTCTTCCTTGACTAAGTTTCTGGTGTTGACCAGAGCTTCAACTTCTGCAGAGAATGATTTTGCTGCTACGGAATTCGTAGACTACATAGTGAGGTTGGTTTGTAATGAACAATGACTGGTGATGCACAATGTTTTTCAGGACAAGACTTTCTATAGGAGCAGCTAATATGCTTATCCAAAGAATTGCTTTGTTTCATTTCATGTGTTATCGATGAATAATTGAACTATTACCTACTTTGTGCACTTTGTAAATTACTCACTCTACTTGTAATTGCTCAAGTTGTGGTAATTCATACAACCGACTCCAACTTGTTTGGAGCTGAGGCATAAGGTATAGTTGTTGTAATTGTAATTGCTTAAGCTATATGTATTATTGGTGTAATTGTGAGAAAGAAGTGTGCACCAAAATGACCCAATTTGCAATAAAGGGATTTAGACAAAGATATTTGTGGGCCAACTAGATATGAGTCTTTTCTATTCAAGTCATAAAAAATGTATTTTGATGATGTTAAATCAAATAAAACAATGCAAAATACTGGTTCTGTCATTCGGTTACTCTCAAGAGTTGAAAATGATATTTTGTAACTAATTTCTATTTTGTTGGTGGATAAAAGTCTGATTGTTCACATGTATATTAAAATCTTTGCAGCTGGGTTTTCTCTATTTTCTTTTTTCCTTTTTAGAGGAACTTTAGTCATTCCGATCTTGGAAAAATAACATACTCTTATAACGATAAAAATATCATGTCGTATTGTCATGTTTCAACCACAGTTCTAAGTGAAATTTGGTATACGTCCGAAGTTCTTTAATTAAAAAAAAGGATTTATGCTTATTCAAATATTATCATATAAAGTATAAAATAAAACAGAAGAAGTGATAAAATATATGTAATAATAAAATGCTGCAAAAGGAAAGTTAAATATTTGGATTAGTAGGTCCTTTGGTTCCCTAAACTATGAAATTATATTTGCTCACAAAAAAAAAAAAAAAAATTATAATTATTTTGTAATTTATACTTTGTGATCATAGAATTATAGAGTTTTATTATAACACTTTGCCCTTCTCTAATCTAGCGTTTGGATATAGATATGATTAAAACTTGAAAAAAGAGTTTTTGAAGTTATGTTAAAAAATAATTTTTGAAAGTTGGTGTTGTATTTGGACATGCATTTTATTTGAACCAAAGTTGAATTTTGGTGGGTGGAAGAAAAAATTTCGCCCAAAATCTGCCATAAACTAGTTTTTTGGGAACTTGAAATTTTTTAAATTTTTTTTTTCGAAAACATAATCATATTTCATAAACAAACGATATTTTTATTTTTATTTTGAAAAAAGAAGCCAAAATCTATGGCTAAGATTTTGATGATACTTTCTCACACTCGAAAGAGTTATAATAATTCATATTGAGATCATCGAATTTAGTACTCACATCTGTTCTCTAGAGCAAAGATAGTTGCTTTCCTTAATATTATCGAAACATTATAAAACAAATTTACGTACAAATAACATGAATTAAATACTTACACTTTTTATATGAAAAAAGAAGTAAAGAAAAAGGACAAATAAATTAAAATTAAAAGAGAACATCACCAAAAGAAGAAAAAGTAAAATTGTCTTTCCATTTCTAGAAATAATGTTTTCCTCAAACATCGTCCTTCCTTTTTGGATCAAAACTCTTCACAATTACTACCAACTATCAACCCTTTAACCAACCCCCTCCCCCCAAAAAAAAAATCTGCTCCTCCATTGTTGTTTCTATCAATGAAACCTAGTATTGAAAATGGCTTCAGATCTGAACTTAATAGCACTATGAAAAATTCGTAGATATTTTGTTCGATTTGATCCATGAAGTTTCCGATTGGCATTTACATATATGATTTAGATTACAATCTTCAATCTCTAATTATTGCCTTGCATTTCCAGCTACTTCAATGTCTAGGAACAGTCTTAAGATCCATTTGTCAATCGGTAAGATCCAACCCGGATCCGAAAATAAAAACGGGTCGCCTGTTTATACCGATAGTGGTACATGCGAGCATTTGTCGGAGCTCCGATCCAGAGTTGGGTCGAACCCATTTTTCAACTTCCGGGGCTGCGTGAAGGTCCGGCCATTGGGGCGTGCGTCCATCCGCCGTGAGCCGCCGAATGAGCTGGTGAGATGTGGTGCGTGCGGACAGGCGCCGCCGCGGTTGTACGCCTGCGTCACGTGCGCCGCGGTATTCTGCCGTGTGCACGCGCCGTCGCATCCGGTGGGGAACGCTTCCGATCCCTCGCTGCACAGCATCGCCGTGGACATCGACAGGGCCGAGCTGTTCTGCTGCGGGTGTAGGGACCAGGTATACGATCGAGACTTCGACGCCGCCGTAGTACTAGCGCAGACGGAGGCTACCGTGATCGGATCAATACAAGACCCTCCGCCGCAGCCGGAGAACACGCGCAAGAGGAGGCGCGTGGAGTATAAGCCGTGGACGCCTGATGTGAAAGAGCAGGTCTTGATCGTTGGGAATTCGAGTCCGTTGCCGAGTCAGCTCGGCAATGACTCAACAACCCCAGAAGTACAATGGGGTTTGAGGGGCCTTAACAATCTTGGAAACACGTGTTTTATGAATTCAGTGCTTCAAGCATTGCTTCATACACCACCATTGAGGAATTACTTTCTGAGTGACAAGCATAACAGATATTTTTGCCAGCGAAAGAATAACAGTGTTATAACAAGGAGTAGTAGTGATAATGGGAATAAGAACTCAACAATGCTGTGTTTAGCTTGTGATTTGGATGCAATGTTTTCTGCTGTTTTCTCCGGCGATTGGACCCCTATTAGTCCTGCAAAGTTCCTCTACAGGTCTGCATTTGATCATGTTTTCTTGGATTGTTGAGATCATGTTTGGCTTTCTTATAATGTGCACTCGTTCTTTTTTTTTTTTGGGTGAGAAGTTCGTATAGGTGATCCAGATTTGCTTGGAATTGAGGCATAGTTGTTGTATACTTATAATTCTTTTTTAAGGATAATGATATATTGGTAAAAGATTCCTTATTTAGCTTGGTTGTGCCCTTATTTGCAAATGATGTAGGGACAAGATTAATTTTTTATTGTTGGGGTTATATGTACCACCCTTATCCCTTCATTGAAGTAAAATTAGCTAGTGGTGTGTAACTTGGTTGTGATATAATACATTTGTAATTTGTTATATTG